GCTATTACAACTGTACAAGGAGTATTAAATTCCCAAATAAACCTCTTTCAGTAAATTGGAAGCAAAAACACAAATGGTTCAAACTCTTTATAGATTTAGGAATAATCTGTTTTTGAGGTTTCACGAATAAATGACAAACTGGTAAAATCCGATCTGAATGTCAATAAAAATTTATATTGCTCGGACTTTTCGAAAATAATATCAAATGTGTGTTAGATCCTTCAAAAGTAGTGCATTTTGGAGGATCCGACACGGATGCGGTAGCATTTTGGAGAGTCGCCGCAACATAGACAAAAATATAACGGGGCTACAGAAAGAAATTTCTAAGATACATTCCATACAACTGAAAAGATTGAGGATTCCAACAACAAAAACACTATAAAAACAAGAGTTGAACACAAGATGAAGCATGAAGAAATAGTTTGACCCGGAAACTCAAGCTATTTAATCACAACAAAAATAAGACGTATCCGAATAAAAGAGAGGCAAAATAAAATCACTTGAGCAGAGTCTCGACGGCATCGAAGAAGAGAGGAACCACTTCTGGGCTTGGCGTCTTAACAAAACACTTGACACCAAGGTTTCCAATTCTAACTGTCCCTTTTCATCTTTCTTGATCCCCAACATAATAGAACATTTTTCAGAAATAAATTTATCAAACGTCTCTTATACAAGAAAAAGCAGTCACTCACATTGTAGGAGAAAGTGCTAAGATGTTTTACGGACCAAGAAAATTGCTTCAAATACTATCATGAAGCATTACATTTCTCATATTCTTGTATACTCTGTTGTAAAAGGTGATACAGCTAAAAGATCAACCTTCACTGGCATTCTTTCAATTCAATTTCTTTTATACATATATCATTCCATTATTTCACCCAAAAAAAAGAAAGATAGTAGAAATTGAGAGAAGAAAATTGATTGTACTGTTCGTGTAGATATCTACTCACTCTAAATCACGATCTTAAGTTGGAGTCAAGACAAACCTTCAATCATATATAGAGAATACTCTTGTAAGCTCAAGTTAGTTAGTGGTAGTTATGATAGTTAGTGTGTCAGTTAGTCGGTTAATACATACACTTAATGCCATCTCATGTCCAACTCATAAGTTAATGTTAGTTAGGCTCATCACTTGTATAACTACTACCTTGTATCTTCAGAGAAAGAATAGAAGAGAATCATTTTGCAATGCCTGCTTCTTCTTCATTTTTGTGCTCTAGAAGCTTCTACCATTAGAGCAGTGCAGAGCTACTACAAACCTACTCAGTATAAGAGCAGATTTTAGCATGGTATTAGAGCGGATACAAGTCAATTAGATTCTCGGTCATCGATCGATCCTTGGACATCAATTTCTAATTTCCGAAATTGTTAAAGTGCGAGAACCAATTATGGCAAAATCAACAATTCGTACACACATCCATTGTATCTAGGTCCAGCAGATACTCCGGGCGTTGTCTGATCCTTGTGAAGCTTACAGGATCTTAGAATTATGGGCTATGTGTAGGACGATAAAGATCCCACTACTTGGGAAGAGAAAGCTAGGGTTTGTGAATGGAACTTGTACGAAGGAATCATGTAGTACTGAGCAACAAGAGCAATGGAAAACTTGTAATGTTATTGTCCTCTCATGGCTCATGAACATAGTATCCACGGAACTCTTGTGTGGAATTGCATACGCTTCAAATACTCATCTCGTGTGTGAAGACTTGAGGGAGAGATTCGCATGAGAATTTTTCAATTGCATCGAGCCATTGCCACTCTCTCACAAGGTACAGATTCTGTTTCATGCTATTTCACAAAATTAAAGGATTTATGGATTGAGTATGATGCTATGGTACCCAAGGCCAATTCAAGGGATTATGTTGATCATTTAGACCAACATAAATTGCTACAATTCCTTAGTGGATTAAACGACTTTTATGACCAAGCTAGAAGGCAGATCCTCATGAAGTCGAATGTGCCTTCTATCAATCGAGCTTATGCGATGGTGATCGAAGATGAATCTATACAGTGTCCTGGTACGGATGCAGTAATTAATAAGAATGAACTAGTAGCTATGCAGGTTGGTCGTAACCAAAGCTATAAGGGAAAGAAACCTTTTGAAATGTGAACATTGTGGTTACAAAGGTCATAGCAAAGAAAATTGATATAAGCTCATTGGATATCCTGAAGACTTTAAGGGGAAGAAAAGGTTCAATCAGCTCAATACTGGACAATTTGGTCGTGGAAGTGGTGGTGCAAATGGACAATTTGGTCGAGGAACTCCACAGTTTAATGTTCTTAACAATGATTCTAGCAATGCAGGTGCTCAATGCTCTTCTAGCTGTGACTTGCGGGATGTTTTTGCTGGAAAGGGACCATTCTTCACGAAGGAACAATACAAGCAGATTTTAGCATTGTTGAACAAGGAACTAGCTGACAATCAAAACAACATGGATAGCCAAAGCAATATGGCAGGTATTGTAGTTTGTTTCATGTCCAAAGATATTACTAGTGAGTGGATTGTGGACTCAGGTGCCACACATCACATAGCTGCATCGATGGATTTATTAACAAATGATAACATTAAGAAAGAATCTAAGGACACAGTACATTTTCCTACTAGAGATAAGATCCCTATTTCTCATACAAGCCATGCATCTTTACTTGGTATTGAGGTTATAAAAGGTGTCTTGTATGTACCAGATTTCAAATTTAATCTCCTTTCAGTATCTAAACTCACAAGAGAACTGAGGTGTTCAGTGAATTCTTTTCCTGACTTTGTCCTCTTCCAGGATCTTTACAGTGGCAGGGTGAATGGGATTGATAAGGAGACATGTGATCTGTACATTGTCAAAGGTAGCAGTAATAATAGCAGTAGAGATTGTAATGTAGCAGCAATAGTCGCAGTGAATGAGGATTGCAGATTATGGCATCAAAGTCTTGGCCATCCTTCGGCCTTTGCTATGAAAAGTATAAATTGGTTAGGAAGCACTGTGGATAATGATCTTCTGAATAATTGCCCTGTGTGTCCCTTAGCTAAACAAACTAGATTGTTGTTTCCTACTAGTATTTTTAGGGCAGTATCTCCTTTTGATCTTGTTCATATGGATTTATGGGGCCCTTATAAAACACCCACCTATGACAAGAAGTATTATTTCCTTACTATTGTGGATGACTTTAGTAGGTTTACTTGGATTCATTCGCTGCAACTCAAATCTGAAACAATTGTTGTAATTAAAAACTTCATGTTAATGGTAAGAAACCAATTTGGAGTGATGGTAAAAGTGTTGAGATCAGACAATGGCATTAGGGGTGTTCAAACCGAACCGAAACCGAACACCGAATCGAAACCGAAGCTTAATGGCTTATTGGTATGGGGTTAGCGGTTTAACGGACGGGGAACGGATTGAATTTTTTTTATTAACGGCTTATAGGTTTGGGGCCGGATTATTCAATTTTCTTAACGGATAATCCGTTAACCAGTTATATACATATATACATATATATATATACATATATACATATATATATATATATATATATATAT